ATTACCAAACCATAATCTAATCCATCGATACTGAAAGGGGCCTAGCCTGCGGCCAGAACTTTCTACCCTCTGCGTGAAACCTGGTAGCTTCGTCTGGAAAATGAAATGGCAGTCTCCAGACTAGCCACGTAAGTAGACTAGACTAGAAGACCAGCATAATCATTGATTGATTGTGTTGCCAAAATTAATCATCCCAGAAGTCCCCTGAAACTTCGCGACTCCACTCTTTGATCACTATAAATAATCACCAAAGATACATTCCTAGCTACGCTATACGGGTTACTAAGGCGCGCTATTGACTGATTAAAAGCTTTCTTGACCACTCAAGAAACCTGATAGTCAAGGAAGGAGTAAATCAATTTTTTTTTCTTAAGGGGGGGTGATACTTGTAAGGGGTTGAAAATTTTTAAATGGCGTTGATCCCCAAGTTGTTTGGTGATATGTTGGCACCCTCTGGCTTGAGCGACGAGACCAAGGGTATCGTGAATGCGCGGGTGGACTGGAAGGAGACCCCTGAGGCTCATGTGTTCAAAGTTGATCTTCCTGGACTGAAGAAAGAAGAGGTAAAGATCGAGGTTGAGGACGGACGAGTTCTGGCGATCAGCGGGGAAGGGGCGGCTGAGAAGGAAGACAAGAATGACAAGTGGCACAGGGTTGAGAGGTCACGCGGCAGGTTCATAAGGAAGTTTTTGCTGCCTGAAAATGCTAAAGTTGAGGAGGTCAAGGCGAACATGGAGTATGGGGTCCTCACCGTCACCATCCCTAAGCAGGAGGTGAAGAAGCCAGAGGTCAGGGCCATTGAGATCAGTGGTTGACCATCACCAGGATTACATATCCTTTACTGGCCTACTTGCGTTGCATCTAACTTTCCATGTATGCATGCCTTCATGATTCTCTGGATAAAGCTGTTGCTCAAGTTTGGGCATTGTTTGTTTCTGTCCTCTAATTTTGTTTCAACATGTCTCCGTTCTTATACCGTATGCTGGAATGAATGTATAATGCTCCGTGTGTAATAAGGTTTGCGGTAAAATAAAGGTTTAATTACATATACCTCTCCCGAAGTTTGTTCAAACTACCAAACGAACCCTCATAGTCTGACCAAATTATAATTACCCCCTTATCCGTAATGCTGTTTAAACCCAGCTAACAGACTGAACAAAATGACCGATCAACTGGGTTCAACAAATATGAGAAATATAAATAAGAATTTAATAAGAGCGCAATTTCATAGACTTTTTTTTGTTGGCGTATAACTCATAGGCATCCACATTTATTTACAATTTACGATTAATCCTGTTTGAGACGGACGGGTCGAATCCTTGGAGAAGTTCTTCCAACATTATCCTTTCTATTTTCATGAATTTCAAACAAACCTTTGCGGACGGGTAATTAGATAGAGAGTGGAAGGGGATCCTTTGTGGAGGCCCAGTGAATCAAGCATTAACGGGCTAACTACTGTAGAATGGCCCACCGGTTGTACGTGCATTTTACTTAAAGGCATCGGGACCAAGAATTTTTTTCGCACGAGAGGCCCAAGACACATTGTATAGCGTACTTGTTTTTAGGAGCCTTACGTATCACTCGAAGACTAGGGCTTGGTAATCCTCCGATCTCGCGTAGCGTCCCTCCTCCTGAATACACGACCAAGGCCTGGTATTGGTGGGCTTTCTTCCCTTATTAATCAAGCAGAAAGCTTCGACGTAGTTGAATTGTCAACACTGGCCCGCGAAACGCCGATCCTGATATAATACAAATATCACTACTAGCAAACTTTACTTTACTAGCTTTCATGATTGGTCATGCTTCATGATCAAGCAAGACATATTCCTCAGCAGTTAAGTTAGGGCGTCTACAGAAAAGATTAGATTGGCACAAAATCCAAAGTAGATGATCCAAATGCGGCCGCACGCAGGACTTTTGAGCTTTTACAAAGTAAGGGAGCTGAGATCGCCCAAAAGCCATCAGAAGTGGCGGGACGCGAAACGCCGGAGCGGAATATTGGATGGAGTTACCTGAAACAAGAGAGCGAAAATAAAAAATAAAAATAAAAAATTGAAAGATGAAAGTAGAGGAGAACAGGGATAATGATTAATTTGTATTCCGCGTTAACGGGCGTGCAAGAATCCTTTATGGACCACTATTATGTTTTTTATGGGTAGGGCCATCCTTACTTTACGACTTGTGGGGTTTTGGAATTTTCAGTCCCTACGGTAGGTATTCCCGACCCTTTTTGTGTAATTCTCAAGCGGAGTCGGGGAGTATTTTCGTTTTTGGTTTGTCTGGTAGCTACGATGATCGGTTCAGTGCCATTGATTTTTTTTTTTTTTTTTAAAAAAAATTTCTTTTTTTTTTTGGGTTATTTAATATGATTACAATCAGTGGCGGGTCTACATGTTGCTGAGGCGGTGCAATTGCGCACCGCTCAATTTTGAGAAAAATATATTGCAGGCTAACAAGGGTTTGTTTGGATTGGGCTTTATTTTCCCAAATTTATTTGCTTATATCATCATTATAATTTTCAATACATCTTTTTACCTTCCCAATTACCTTTTTATCTCACATACATCACATTACAAAAAAGTGCTACAGTAAAAATATCTCTAATAATTCACAATCCAAAAAGTTTGGAAATTTTCAATAATGTTTTTAATTCCCCCCCCCCTCCGCCTCGCCAACCCTTAAAATTTTAGAATTCTATTTTCTATCATACACTACCCTCCTAAATTATTAAAAATTCATTATCATTATCCCTCACAAGAGTTCTAGACCTACCAAAAAATGAATTTATTTTTAAGATAGACGTATTTATTAGTTTCGAATTCTATTATTACTATAATTCTTGTGCTAATTGATATTGATCCCCCTAACTCTAGGACCCTGATTAGAATGTAAGGAAAATATATCAAGTTTCAAGTTCATAGTGTAGGAGTAATGAGAGAGTGTTAGCTCTCATGTTCTCCGCCATGATGATACTACAAGCCCTCTGGTCTTTTTTATCCTTCTCTTTGCACTAAAGAAAACATTAAAAGCTCAAGTTTGATTAACGGAGTGGTTTGGTTCTTAGTAAATTTGTTAGAGAGATAGAGTAGCAGCCTTGTAGTTGCTATAGGCAATGTTTTGCAATTTTTCCATTTTCCAATTTTTCACTCAATATTTTTAAAATTTTTGCAAAATGCAGCTGGCAAGGATCAAACTCGGGACCTTTGCTATCGAAGTCCAGCGTGGCAACCATTGCACCATCACATCCAAAGAGATAACACATTTATATAAAACAAGCTTCCATCTTTCATTCATCCATTTTTCCTACAAAATCTCATCATCTCATGACTCTTTTTTTCTAGTTTTTAACTCTCTCTCTTCTCTTTTCTTTTGTCACCCCTTTTTTAATCCAACCTCTTTAGTTTTTATTTATTGATGTTTTCTTCAATCTTTTGTTTTTGTCTATTAAATTGAAAAAATTTTAAAAAAATATTTTCTTTAATCCTAAAGACTAATTATTAAATGTCACAACCATTCACTTTCAACTCATTTTTTGTTTCCTATCAAGTTTGCATCTCTATTTTCGATTGTCCTGACTTCCACCAAACTCCAAACTTCTTTTTTAAGTTGTAATTTCTAAATTCAAAAAACATGAATTAAAATTTAAACTCACAATGTTTAACTCTCATAGTAATGAATTTTGTATAATTTCAAAATATTGTGGTATTTTTGGGTTAAATCTAAGATTATTTTTTTGGTAGATATAATTGAAATTGAAATTGAGATGAAATTTATTTGTTTTAACTTATAATTTAAAAAATTTATCTTTGAAAATTCAAGTTCTTTGAAAATATTAAACTTTTCATCATATAAAGTTTTAAATTAGTCAATTGCATGTCTTATTTTATGCATATTTTATATAAATTATTTTTAAAAAATTTATCGAATTAAGATTAAACCGGTCTAACCAGTTAAACTTTGACCCGAATACCTTATCGATTCAACGGTCTAGTTTTAAAGCATTGGCTATAGGAGTAGGACTCGTCTTGCTCTGCCGATCATTGAGCCCCAAAAGCAACAAACAAAGAAATCCACAAAGTCAAAAAACTTTGGCGGTGACCTGAATTTTGGGGAATGCGGAAATGGACAAAAAGGAAGGCCAGTGCTACTTGCCAAATTTGTATGTTTCCGTTTCATTTTTCATGCGCCTGTCAAATTTACGCGCCCCTGTTGGTTGTTTGTTTGGGCATTTTAAATTTCATTCTAAGACAAGATGTCGAAGAATCCGTTAAATACCAAACCTCTGGAGTGATGGACCCAAAGATCATACAAACTCCCTCGGCTCTCTCCACCCTCCTCAGCTCAATGTACTCAATTAAGCTTTGGAGTTGCCCCGAAACAAAAGGCAGGTTGGAACTGCCGATTCCCTTTCCCTTTCGTTGGTTGCCGTCGGCGTGGTCCATGATTATTTATGTTTTTTTTTTAAAAAAAAAAAAAAAGAAGAGGAAGAAGAAGGAGAGACCCTTTTTGTTCGTTCTTCGTTGTAGTACTATGGTAACGTTTTCCATGCGAGGCAGCGCGCCATGCATGCATGACCAAAAAGCATAAGCAATGGGCCAAAATTGGCAGTCGAAGCCCAGTGAAAAAGCCCACCAAAAGCCCTAACAAACAACAGGCAGATGGATAATTCCGGGGCTGGCGTCCACCATTTTTGCGTCCATTCCCAATTTCCCACCACTAATATATGCTCAATCAGTTATCCATCGCCACAAACCAGTCACGTGCGGTGGCCTAATGACATCACGCATTAGTGGGCCCCGCGGACGAATGAAAGAACTTCTTGGGATCCGAGACAAAGAAAAATTGTCCGCTTGTGGGGGCCGCCCCTCTCTCTCTGTCTCTGATAGCTCCTCCTAGTCCAATCCAGTCCTCTCTGATTGCGACCGCCTATCAATTGCCACCTCGCCTTTTAACCGTCCGATTGAAAATGAAACGCCCGTACCCCACCCCCACTCGCTTCTCTCTCTCTCTCTCTTCTGTGCCTCTTTTTCTGTCTCCTCCGATGCAGATACGCTGTATACACTACTGCAGCAAGTAGACGAAGATTTCCCGGGTTTTTCTTCCCCTTCCCCTATAATTGTGCTACTGGGATAGTCTACTTAGTAATGCCTATCGGCCGGGGTACTCACTCTTCCTATACAATTTCAGCTTCGCTGGTCTGATTCTTTGTTTCCTTAAGCGGCTTTAAAGAAAGTTCCTGATGCAATCCCAAGAATCTTTCTTGGCTTCTTGATCTCTCTGCAATTCCTTGCTTTGTCTTTCGTGTAAGTACATTCCTTTTCACGCTCTTCCAAGATGATTTCTTTCTTGTTCCGAGTTTTTGTCACATAAAAAATTACTAATGGGCTTCAATCATCACTGCCCATCCTCTTTGTTGGGACGTGCAGCTTCGGGAATTCTTGAATAGTAAATGGAAACTTTATTCGGACCGCTACGTGAAATTTTTGGAGTTATTATCCGTTATTTGTATAGCATTATGACTTTCCTGGAGCTAATGCACTTGTAATTCCTTCGGTGATTGGTGCTTGGTAATGCTGGCTTTTGTGCTTTTCTTTACTGATTGGGTTTTAGTTGGCGTGGATCTGGGATTTGTGGGTGTGAATGAAAACTGCTGTTATAGTGTATATATGGGAGCAAACACTGCTGCTAGTGCAAGTAGACAGGGGCTTGTGCTGTATGATTTTTGGATACCATTCTGATTCTTGTGTTGTGCTGTTTGATTTTGACCTGTTTTCGTTTGCATTGGCCTTGTATATAGTAGATATTCTTGGTTAATCGTGCATCGCTCTTCTAGACTCATGGTAGTTATTAGATGTGCAAGTGGACATGGGCATTCACTCCTTGACCGAGATGTATTATGTTGCTATTTCAGGATCACACCATCCTTGTTTTGTAGACTGCTGCAGAAGTCTTCAATCCATACTGCTGTTCTTAATGTTAGGAGATTGAGGACTGGTGATGTTATGCTATAGACAATAGATGACAGAACAATGTGGAATAGTCAATACTGTCATATAAAGTTATTTTTATGCAAGATAACTTAAGTTGTGGAAGTTGATGATGAAATAAGAAAAATTAAAAACCCGAGGCTATATTCATAGCTAACACTGAATAGTGTTTTTTTGTCCCTTCTATGAGGGGAGGGGTGGGATTCAAGAAGCGGGGAGACAGGAAGGGAATTGGAACCCAGGACCTCTAATACTTAACAATGCCTATTCTTTCTAGTTCTTGTGTTTAATCTTGGGGATTCTGACAGGAGCTCTCCTATTCTTCCTCCTTTATCCAGTAAGAACTAATGCAGCACAACTTGTTATGACGGACCAAAAGTATTCAGGAACTACTGTTTGACTGATAAGCAAAGTAACCAGGCTTACATACCTATCCTATACCATTAAGATGTATATAATGGAACCTGGAATCCTATTTGTTCTCTTGATTCGACTTTTACATACTAAGCCTTCTTCATCCCTGTTATTGTTCATGGTTCCTTATTCTATACGAGTATAAATTTGGTACCATATAGTCTTGGTGTACAGTTCTGTATGGCCCCTCTGTAATCAAAATAATTCAGTGTTCAATACACTTTGATGCTTTTTCAAGACCAGTTGTAATTAAGGGAAATTCATGAGCTGCTCTTTGAAAATGATTTGTTGTTGGCTACCCAACAATTTTATGCTATTTTTGCAGCTAAGCTTGGGGTACTTGATGCAATGTCAGCTTACACAAAATCAAGTAAGGAATATTCTGAACCTGCTAGAACAATGGGGCATGATGTGGAGTTCAAAAGGAATTCAAGACAACAACAATCCTCAAATGCTGTAAAAGAGAAGATCCTACCAATTCAAGCACATCAACGTTTGAAGTTTCACAAAAAGCTTGAAGTAATCAACCCCTTTATTCAGCTGTCCACTGATAATCATCCTGATGGGTTAAGACAGCAAATGGATGATGAGCTAGTGATACAGAAGAAGTCTTCAGTAGGTTTGCAAAAGCAGCAGCTTGTGTCAAAGACAAATAATGAGGATGATGAACTCGTCAAGCATATGTCTAATTTGCCTGGCTATCTCCAGCGAGTGGAAAAGCAGAAGAATGTTCAAGTACAGGCTTTGAATTTTGGAGTTCTTGATTGGAAACGTCTAGAGAAATGGAAGTACAACGAGCGTATGCCAGCTAGAAGTCACCCAAAAGTATCATCAAGTGGTAAATCCATGGATATGGAGAATGGAAAATCTGCACTGTCAAAAACCTCTGTTGGTAGAAAACAACAGATGATGTCCAGCACTGAAATGAAATTGTGTGATGATGTCCAGCAATCCAAAGGGAAGTTAAAAAACATCCAATATCCTCAAACTCGTTCAGGTCGCACCGCTGCTGGGCAGAAAAAAGATTATTGTCAAAAGGTGAAAAATCCCAGCAGCAGTTGTCCTCAGATGAATCATGAGAAGGGCAAGAAGAAAGAGGCGGATTGGACCACATCACAGCAAAAAGCAGCATTATCCTTGGATCAGATGGAAAATAGCATCTCGATGTCTTCACTTCCAATGTGTTATCAGCAAGGTAAAATTGGGACTGGAAGAGATGATGACATAAAGGGTCGTCCCATATCTTCCAATGCTGAACTTCAAAATATAGTGCTTCTAGTGCCCAAATGTCCTTCCAAAAGGCGTTCCTCACAGAATTCTCGGTCATTAGAATCGAGAATATCACCTAATGAGCAGTTGACAAAGCACGCTAGGGGCAGATATTCTGATTGCTTTTCTTCTCTTGAGCTTCAATCTGGAGAACTCTACAATGAAATTCCATGTTCGTTTCCCATGCCCGCTAGTGTTGCCACTGCACGAGACAGAAAACCAGGTTACTGCATGCAGCCACGTAATAATAATAACTCAATCAACTCCCAGTCATCTGAAGCCAAATGTTTGCATTCAAAACTTTGCAATGTTGGTTGTCCAGCTTCAGTTGATGCTTGTGAAGTGACGGAGTTGAATACTGCTAAGGAAACAAATTCCAGGACATCGTCTCATGGACAGTTAGCAGATGGCAACAGGTTATCATATTCTGGTGATTTTTCTTCTCAGGAGCTTCACAAGAGAGAACTCCAATATGAAATTCCGCATTCCTCTCCCCTGCCTGCAACTGTTGCTATTTCCCGAGGCAGGGAACCAGATGTTTGGATGTATCCATTTCAATGTGGTATCTCAAGCGAGCCCGGATCATCTAGAGCCACATGTTCAGAAGAAAAAAGCTACAACCTTGACGATTCAGTTTCAGTTGAGAGTTTTAAGGGAACGAACTTGGATTTTGCTAAGCATACAGCTGATAAAAGAAGACATCCATCACCTAATAGGAGGTTTAGTTTTAGCTTTGGTAGATTAAGCAGAAGTTTCAGTTTTAAGGAGAGTTCGGCAGTTCCAGCATTGAGCTCCACACCTCTTGCTGCTAAGTCCAGTCGAGAAAACCCAGAGGTTTTTGCTGCTATTGACGACAGTAAAATGGACAAGGCAAATTCTAGTGGCAGAAGACGTCCAAGTCCGTTCAGGAGGTTACTAGACCCAGTGTTGAAATCCAAGGTTGCTCATTCTACTGAAGCAGTACAGAGCAAGGGAGCTATAGAAAAAAACTCCAGTTTTGGGAGTGTGCAGCCTATCAGCAATAGTAAGCCACTTTCCAATGAGACAAATCAGGCATCACCTGTTCAAGCTCTTATGCAACTTACTGTCAAGAATGGACTCCCTTTCTTCAAATTTGTGGTTGATAATAGGAGTGACATTCTAGCTGCTGCTGTGAACCAATTACCAACATCTGGAAAGGTTGATAGCACCTTGACATTTTCATTCTACTCAGTTCATGAAATTAAGAAGAAAGCTGGGGGCTGGATAACTAATGGGTCTAAAGAAAAACATTGTGGTTTTGGTTATGATATTGTCGGTAAGATGAAGATATCTAGATCTTTCTTCTCAGAGTTGAATGCTGATGGCTGTAATGACCAATTTATGGTAATAGAATCTGTCTTATTTGATGTTAACGTCGCTGAAGGGAACAAAGGAGCACCAGAAGTTTCACCAAACAGGGAGCTTGCTGCCATTATCTTTAAGGAGCCAGCTGCAAAATGGAATAATAGGGAATCAATAGTAGGTCACACATGCAAACAAAAAGGTTTTCTTGGCTTTTCACCAGGCAGTACCTATGGCTATGGTGAAAAAGAGAATTTCAGCAGTATAACAGTCATTCTTCCTGGCGGTTTTCATAGTTTACCAAAGGATGGTGCACCTTCATCCTTGATTCAGCGCTGGAAATCTGGGGGATCATGTGATTGTGGAGGATGGGATGTTGGTTGCAAGCTGAAAGTTCTTGCCAACCAGAAGAAAGGAAGCAACTCTTCTATACCAGCTACGAGCTGCTCGACACTACACCGTATGAATCTTTTCATCCAGGTATTGCCCTCATGCTTCATGAACTTCCTCGCGTCTTTTTTATGTATTAACAGTGAAAATTCAATGCGTCATTCTTAGTCTATGCTTCTTCACAGGGTGGAGAGGGAAAAGGCCAGCCCATCTTCAGTTTGGCACCATTCAAAGATGGATTTCATTCAATTGACTTTGATGCATCAGTTTCCTTGCTAGAAGCATTCTCTATTTGCGTGGCTGTCATAACGAGTCGACACTTATCTGGCATCTTTGATGGTAACCTTCTGCCAGAAGCAAAAGTTTCTGTGGAAGCCAAGAATGAGGACGTTGACATGAAGAACATGAGCATAACCCCAGGCCAGGTCCCTCCAAAATATGTTTCATCGCCTCCCCCCTCACCAGTAGGGAGGATTTGAGTGCCTGATTATTGGGAGTTTGGCTCGCTAGGTGTAAATAAGAGATTTTAAGACCCAAGGAACAAGTGTACATCTGACTAGACTGCTAGTTTGCAGTGATTTTCACACCTAGACTTCCGAAATACAGAAGTCAGCTAGTAAGGAATTGTATTGGCCTCTGTAATTTGTTACATGTATATGTAGGCAATAATACTACTCATGCTAAAAAAACACATGGAGAACTAGATTGCATTCTGCAACCTGAACTCCTGGAACTACTTGCATATACTGGAGACTTTCTTATCCGTTAGAAATGGACAGTTCAAATATGTTACTGGACACCTTTCTTATCTCTCAGAAATGGAAAGAAAAGAGCAACTTTACGATGGAAACAATTAAAAGCTGCTTACGCTGGACACTTTTCTTGTCACGAGAGATTAATCAACAAGGGTCCAGGCGAAAAGCTGCTTTCAGAAACAAAGAGTAACTAAACGATGTTCTATGAAATGCAGACATTTGCAGCCGTATTTAGTCAAGCAAGGTGTTGTTCACGTTCTTATAAACAAAGATGTCCAACTAAACGTTTGCTGAAGGCTCAAATTTAAGTAGAATCCATACCATAGCAGTAGAATGCATTAAAGCAAGCCAACCACGGTGATTTGAATTGCGCAGGGCCTCAGAAGACTACAACTATTAGTTAATGGAATAGGACTAATCTGTAGCAGCAACGGACCCGTTAAGTATTGTGTCAACACACCAACCTCAACCAAAACTTAAGCCACCATGCTTGAATGTGCCTCTGCATATCGGCAGACGCATTTGTTACAAACTTTTTGGCAAAATTTGATAGCATGCAGGTACATCAAAATTCAAAGTTGAGGATACACCTTGGACAGAATTACAGTTACTAAAAGCCGTTGCCTAATGCCCACTACATTTCCTTAACGTCCTCAAAATCCATTTCACAAGTCAACATATGATGCATGGTGAATGCATATTTTCCACTGACCCTCAATTTTCTCAAAGACATTAGTGGCAAACTGTTTACCCCAGCTGCTACCCTTTGTCTTAACCATTTCAATGCATGTAACATATCCTACATCCCCTCTAACGTGAACTTGAACATCCTTGATCTCGATTTCCAGTGGGAATTCATAGTCAGCCCACACAAACTCCCAGCTTCCCATCACAAGATCATAGCCAGATATGCCACTCACACCAGGGTGCACAACACATGCATTATCACCCTTTGACCATAGTGCTTGCAAAGCTGCTAGATCCCCGTTTCTGAATGTGTTGTAAAAGCGAGTATTAGCTGCTAACACAGAAGCCTTGCTGTCACTCTGGAGAGACCGAAGGCTATCTCTTATTTCTGCTGCTTTGGTATAGTTCTCCTCTTCTATTGCAATCTGTAATTCCCGCTCCAGCGTCTGCTCATCTACTATGATGCTTTCTCCCGTTAAAATTCCTTCTGAGTCCTCACTTTTGACTCGACATATTTTCAACAGGCATGGACGAGAAACATGCCTAACAGGAACTGCTCTGAACAAACAAAGTCTTAGACCATCTTAAAAGAAAGGCCAAGTAATCAAGAAGCATGCTACAGCAATGCTGAATTCCTAAATCTGCATTCAAGTGCTAAGATGTATATACTCATTTCTAATCAAAAGACCTGCACACTAGTTAATTATAAAATTATATAAATCATCATCATTGCATAATCACATTACTGTAGTAGAATAATTATTTGTCAGCTGATAATCTTTCAGCTGCATCCTGCAATCTGTTCCTGAGCACTTGTAGGAGGGGATGATGGGCAACTTCAGTTCTTTCAAGAACTTGAAGGGAAATCCAGCATCCACAGTTTGCAATCTCAAGTTCTTAAGGCCTAGTTTGGCAATGAATGGAAGCTAAAAGGATAAGAGAACTCAAGTTATGAAATAAGGAAAACAAGTTAACACTTGAGAAAAGTTTCTCTCATTTCGTTTCAGCCTCTAGGAAAGAAATGGCAGAAATTGGGTGTCATTATTTCGTTTAGCAATTAAAAGTAAAGTTGGCAAGGGCCAGTTTCATGACATTTATCAGTTCATATTAAGATTGTTAACATCCTCAAAATCTATTTTTCGTCTAAAAATTTAGGTAAAGTTGGCATATGGCCAACCTTACTGATGGCACTCAACAATATGCTCACACTTATGCCAGCATGAATAACACAGGGAAAAAGAAAGCTAGCCAAAACTAGAATGATGAAATATTAAGAGACGGGAATTAATGGAGACAAGATGCCCTGAATCTAAACGGGAAACTTCAAAATGTTTGCAAGCAGAATAAACAGAACTTACCAAGCATCCCCTTTTTCAAACCGAGGCCAACAAAACCAGAAACCTTTTCAGCTCTTATCTGAGACTTGTCAGACAAACCAATGTTGCATTCCTTGAGGAGATTCGAAGCAACTTTTTCTTCTTCCTTTTTTGGCTTTCTTGATCGATTGGTTGTCGTAGGATGAGGCCAGGACAGTGGGGAATTTGAGGAGCGAGAGATTAGCGAATCTTATAGGGTGCTGCTGCGAGTCGGAGGAGAGATTGCTGGTGGCGGAGTTTATGCCCAATGAAACGCTCGCCAAGCATTTATTTCATTGTGAGTTTTTTTTTCCGCTCTTGTTTATGTAGTTTCTAAATGCTTAGGTGGTGTGGACGAAATGCTTACATGTTTATCAATTATTTTCAAGAATGCAAACCGTTATTGCTCAATCCATGTCTTGAAAAGTCATTGGTTTGACTCTAGTACAGAAGGTTAAAGCCGGTATTCATCAAGATTATGTACAGTTTGCAGATTTTACATGCTGAATTCTCTAATTACTGGAGTTGCCTCTAATCCTAGCCTCCCTCTCTAGTACACTTTATTAGGGCAGAAGCACGTTAACTTAAAAACTAGAATCACACATCATGTAAACTTTTATATTCGTTCTAATTTGAAATATTCAAATGTGTAATTGAAATCATTGAGATTGATCGCCATCACCAAAAACCCTTCCTTTATGGCTATCATTGCAATTCTGATCTTAATTATGGGCTGTATGGACTAGGGGAAAACCAGCCCATGAAATGGGCAATGAGGCTGAGGGTGGCATTGTACTTGGCACAAGCTTTGGAGTACTGTAGTAGCAAGGGAAGGGCATTGTACCATGATCTTAATGCTTACAGAGTCCTATTTGATCAGGTGAAGTATATCTGACCTCAATATCCCTCGTCTTTCATGTTTTGGATGCACTATGGCTGCCATTCTAAATACGCTTTCTTCTCTGCAACATGACGGCTCAATATGACCCTGCAGGATGGTAATCCTAGGCTTTCTTGCTTTGGCTTGATGAAGAATAGTAGAGATGGCAAAAGTTACAGCACAAATTTGGCTTTCACTCCTCCGGAATACTTAAGGACAGGTTGAATGCATTCTAAACTAATTCTTCTTGTAGTATAATGATCTTCTTCAAAAATTTACCGTGCACTGTGCACCCAATTTGTGCATGAGATGGATAACATGTCCTAATATTTGCAGGAAGAGTGACACCAGAAAGTGTAGTTTACAGCTTTGGAACCATGTTGCTTGATCTTTTGAGTGGCAAACATATTCCACCCAGCCATGTAAGCTAACTGTGTAAAGGGTTGAATTTTAAGGTTTCGTGTGCACCCTATATTATTGAGAAACATTGTGTGTCAGTTGCATGCCACTATTCCTTGTGATTGGTGGAGAATGCTGCAGAATTCAAGAATTATCTGTTAATTTGGATGGAAATCTGATATTTGAGGTACTATGTGATTGCCATCTCACAGGCACTTGATCTCATTCGGGGGAAGAATTTCCTGATGCTGATGGATTCTTGTTTAGAGGGTCATTTTTCTAATGATGATGGAACTGAACTGGTGAGGTTAGCCACCCGATGTTTACAATATGAAGCTCGTGAGAGGCCTAATGCAAAGTCACTTGTTACTGCTCTTTTGTCTCTTCAAAAAGATTCAGAGGTATCCACAGATGATACACATTACCTCTGCCTAGAGTATATGCAAATTCTCAGAAATCTGCTAATTCCATTTCATCATGTTTCATTAAATGGAAAAAAAAGCTATGTCCAATTTAACTTTGATTTTGCCCTGAGACATTCATTGTTTAGGTGGAGGCTAGTGTCTTTTCACTTGCCAGAGTGGAAGATTATTTTCTTATGGGGTTTTACGAGAAAGTGTTTCTGACCTTTGTTCACCAGGTTCCTTCTTATGTTCTGATGGGCATATCTCATGGTTCTGCAAGCCCAGTGGAACCATTGCTGTTGACACCTATGGGTGAAGCTTGCTTGAGAATGGATCTCACTGCCATCCATGAAATGTTGGAAAAGGCTGGATATAAGGATGATGAAGGAATTGCAAATGAGGTGAGTTATATTCGTTCAAAGTTTCATATATTTTTTGGTGGCATAATTCTCGTTTCATAGCTAATTGGGACTGTATAAGTGGTATGCTTATTCCAAGGTTTTTCTGGTCCCTGACAAATTAGCTTCTACTATAAATTCTAGTCATTCTTTTTTTCTGTTTACTTTGTTATTACTCTTAACAATTAAAACACAACCATTATAACTCTGTTCATTTGTGGATAAGATATGTTTTAAGGAAATTGAATGCGCTGTGGGCATGTGCATTACAAGCTTTTTTCCATGTTTTCTTTCAAAATTAAGAAACAGAACAACTTAATTGCCTAAGGACACATTGGCACCCCTCCCCTTCAAGGATTGCAGATAATCATTTTTACATTGTAAAGTTTGTAAAATACAACGATATCTTGAAGCTCTCAAACAGTGTAGTTTGATCTTTCTGCATTTGAAGTTACACTGCTGTTCTGTGTTGTGCTTGCATATCTTAAATCAGCAACAACGGTTTGATATTGTTTGAGCACTTGGTCCCTGCAGCTTTCTTTCCAGATGTGGACAAATCAAATGCAGGAAACTTTGAATTCTAAGAAGCAAGGAGATGCAGCTTTTCGAGCAAAGGATTTCACCACTGCCATTGATTGTTATACACAGGTATGATCACTTTTTTGCCGTCTCTCTATCTTAGGCACTGGCTCGAGGATTACACAATCTTCTAGCAGTGGCAGGCTCAGAAGTTTGAGCTTGTTCAGGAGTATTAATTTGCCAAGAGTACACGCTACCATGAGATAAAACTTGTTGATATGGCTAAATTTGGTTTAGTACCGGAATTAATGGCAGACATGAGGAATGCTTAAAAGGCAATATGAAAATTGATTTCATGTGCTGTCCTTTAGGGAGTTGAACCTGAATTTTGGTGATTTTGAGGGAAACCTAACGTGTTAAATAGCTAAAAGGTTCTCCAAAATGTGTGCTTTTCCTATTACTGGGAAAGAAAGCCTTGAGTAAGACTTGGTCATGATGCAGTTCGTTGATGGTGGAACCATGGTGTCACCCACTGTATATGCCAGACGCTGCTTAGCCTATCTGATGAGTGAAATGGCACAAGAAGCTCTGGGGGATGCTATGCAAGCTCATGTAGTATCGCCCGAATGGCCCACTGCCTTCTACCTTCAAGCAGCCGTCCTGTTCACCCTAGGGATGGACAATGATGCTCAAGAATCACTTAAAGAAGCCACAAAGTTTGAAGCAAAAAGGAACAAGAATTAGATGTGTAAAGGTTTGCTATATTGGTTGTCAAAAATTCTTAAAATTTCTTGTATGTATTGCCCAGTTTCTTTTGCAACTCAAGCGGGTATCAGGGGAGGAAAAAAAAATTTTAAAAATAAAAAAAATATGGAGAGAAAAAAAATCTGTTGGTGGTTTTTAAGTATTGTTTGTTTATTCCTGAGAATTACTCCTGCAATTTTGTAAATGCATTGATTATTACTTTTGACTCGTTGAGAGTTTGCGCCTTCCGTGAAATGTTAAAATTGATGTGGAAGGCTACCATTCGTTTTGTTGCATTACATTTACGGCATATTTGAACGGTTATGTAGTGGTAAAAGAGTAAAAAAAAGAAAGAGTACCAAAACTTTTCACTAAATTTTTGTTGTATCATCACCTATTGCACATTCCTGATAAGAGAATAAGAGGTTAATAGACTCAAGACACTTAATCCATAAGTGTATCCACTAAGATTTGACAGAAATCTTTTTTTTTTCGTTTTTTAGAAAAAATGTTCATACATTGCTACCCTCAGTATACGAAAAATTGAAAGCTAGCCATAATAGGAGTACTAAAAAAAATATGGGAAGATTAAATAGAATTAGAAAACCTGCACATTACATATTCGACAAATTGTTTGGTGGTTTATTTGGGACTATTATGTGTTCGAGTACTCTCATATTTGAGTTCGAGCTCGATAATTAGATATATTGCTTGAGTAAGTTAGTTATACTGTGTTCGAACTCGAGTTGAAATAATATATTCTAGGCTCGAGAAGAAGAAGATACAAGGAAGACTAGTTGAAGAAGAAGAAGAAGGAAAAGGAGGAATCGAGGAAGAACAAAGAGAGACAGAGGAACTAGGAATATGAGAGAGAAATTGACTTGAAAATTCTGATATTGCCTAATGGCTTTTCACCATTTACAACTATATATACATGCTTATCTTTACTAATCAATCCAAAGCCCTCCACTAAACTACAATATTAACAACTAAGAATTTGGATTATCTAATACATTTGGGGCCATGACAATACTCCCCCCTTAATAGAATCCTTGTCCTCAAGGATTGAGTTTTGAAACTGAAAACTGGAGAAATGCAACATTCATAGAAATCTTGTGAACTATCTTGGCCAACTTCAGACAATCAAAATGCAGCTTCATAATCTTCTAATACCAGTTGCTTTCCTAATGGCATTGTGCTACTCAAAGACAGGGTGCAACAGAGAAATCTCTTTGATCTCACCCTTCCAAAACTCTGTCAAAAGTTGTTTTCTAAGTTGGAACCACTCCTTTGCAACATCCTGTTGTAGCCGGTCCCTAACCCTATTCCATTTCTGAATTTTGAGCTTTAAGTTTTCTAACTTCTACACATAGTTCTTAAAGAGTAAATGTGAAACTCTTGAATGCAACAATTCCGTCAAACTACCAGTACCACCCTTAAATGTAGTCACACACTCAATCCAGTGCCATTGATTTAATCATTTCCACATCCATACCAGCTTGGTAACCACTAAGGCCATCAAAAACAAGTGTGAAACTTGTATTTGATTCAGTAGCAAAGGATGAATCTTGATCACTAGAAACATCTTCAAGGAGAGACATGCAACCATTATTCAAGTTTACCCAAGTGGCTATTCTATAATTTTGGCTTGGACTTTGATTAATACTTCTTGTAAGAGTGCCACCTTTGAACCCAATAATAATTTCAGCCCATGCTTTAATCACAAATTTGGACTCCTTTCCGATGATTCCAGCCAAGTGCTCTTGAAGGAAAACACTTGCGATAACCTCTATGAGGTCTCCTAGCTTAAAAAACTGTAGCACAAATTTGGTGTCTGCCTTCGAGGCACTAATTACATAATCTCCAATCAATCCAGGACCTTCTAACAACATCAACAATCTGAATTCTTCAACAGCTTTGTGATTTTTTTGAACAACAACCTATAGCTGCAATACACTAGGCTCTTCCACTTCATCTTGCAATCTTTGCCTTTCTAGTTTATGACAACCCTCAATAGATTTAGACATATTAATCTCTCCTTTCATCAATTCCAAGTCGTGTGACTCAATATCAACATTTTCTTGAATACCAATTCCATGAGTTTCAATCTCTATGTCATCCAGCACTTGATGATTTAAGATGATTTCATCACATTTTTCATCTTGTCTAGAATTTTCCTTAGAAGACATAACCAAGTCAGTACTTGAAAATTGTGGAAAAGAAATCATGCCAACTTTTTCCTCAATCAACTTCTGATTCAAATTAATTGTCTCAGTTTCAAGAAGTTGATTCTTGAATTCTAATTCTCGTTCATTGCCCCATGTTGAATGTTTCAACTCCCCTTAAACTGAAATGACTGAAGAAGGAAGCTTTGAACTTTCATCAAACAAGTGGTGTTCTTCAATTGCAAAACTGTAGTCACCTTCCAAATGTTCTTCCATTTCACCATGGAAGGCTCTAAACTTTTTTGTTTATACTGTCGCCGAATATGCATTAGTCCATTTCTTGATTGGGGTAGATTTTGAAAGAGGGACCTCCTTGGTTTGAATGGATGTGGTAGGCTTTTCCCCAATAATTCTTTGATGCTTTTCCAGTGTATACCCCTTTTTATGACTGAGTATTCGAAGCATAATATTGAAATTACAATTGAATTTGTACATTGTTACATCCAACTTATGATAGCCACCCTTTCCTTTTGCAGCCAACTATTCTTGAAATCTTTGAGCTTGTAATTCAATTTGTTCCTGCAACTCATCCATATTCAAGTTTCCCTTCTTGATTTGGCCTTTTAAGAGTTCATAGACATTATTTTCATCCATTGGTACAATTTAATATGGTGGGAATTTGGAACTCAATTCGGTAATAGTAGTAGTAGTGGATTATTGGTGAATCTTGAAAGGTTAACAAGAAGGAATCAGAAATAGAAAATAGGAAGGATCAGAGATAGAGTAGAGAGAGAAAAGAAGAAAAAATAGAGAGGAAAGGGAAGGGAAGAAAGAAACAGAACTTGCAATTGAAATCAATAGCAGTCCAAGGAAGAGCAGCTCTGATATCAATTGTCAGAACCCAGCATCAAGAAGAAGATACAAAGAAGACTAGTTGAAGAAGAAGAAGAAGGAAAAGGAGGAATCGAGAAAGAACAGGGAGAGACAAAGGAACTAGGAATATGAGAGAGAAATTGACTTGAAAATTCTGATATTGCCTAATGGCTTTCCACCATTTACAACTATATATACATGCTTATCTTTACTAATCAATCCAAAGCCCTCCACTAAACTACAATATTAACAACTAAGAATTTGGATTATCTAATACATTTGGGGCCATGACAGATATATTGCTTGAGTAAGTTAGTTATACTGTGTTCGAACTCGACTTGAAATAATATATTCTAGGCTCGAGTCTAGTTCGTTGAAAATCGAGCCAGTACTCGAGCTTGTCAAAGAATTTACAGCTGAAGGAATAATTTAATTATTTTTAAAATATTAATTAAAATATTATAGCGAGTACTTGATAAATCTCGACGACCTTTCGAACACTTAATATTCTTACTCAAATTTGACTCGAAAACTCAATCGAATAACTCGAATTCGACTTTAATCGAGCTCAAGTTAAACAGCTGACCGAGTTCCTTGCGAGTTCGAATCAAACTACTGAATTGACTTGCAGCCCTACTTTTACTACTGGCGCCTGCAGAAAGAGGTTTTCCATAGATTGAATTGTGATCGGCGCTCAGCCTATCGAGCTTCAAAGACTTCCGTAGACGTGGCTCGCATAGTACCGTTGATCAGGAGCGGAGCAAACAGCTTCTTGGTCTACAACATATTTTGGGAAAATCACTAAATTAGTCCCTTTTATATTGCATATATAGCCTTTACACCCCTTACTTTCAAAATCATGCAAATTGATCCCTTACAAAAATGAAACAGACTACTTTTATATTAAGATCTTAGTCCGTTTATTGGTTAAAAATAATAGTTTCAGAGGTAAAATAGGCATCACACTATATTTTTATTCAAAAATAAGCAATGAAATAAACATCACGCCCCTTTCTCTAGTTTTATGTGTTCTTTTCTTACTTCTTTTTTTTCAGTTTGTATGCTTCTTTTAATATTTGACATATTTTTGCTTATTATTTAACTCGTAACTTTAGTCCTGATTTTCCACTTTTTTCGTAGAATATTATTTCTTCCTTTTTCTTTAACACTTCTCTTGATACTATATAGAATTTTTGGTCAAAATCCTCCAAATTTTTTCTTGCTTTGTTCAAATATAAGAAATAAACCTTCTTTCTGATTGCTAATGCTAGTATTGATAGATGTTATGCATTTGGGTAAAATGGTTTGTTATGCCTTTGTTATCCTCGAAATTACATCACATGATAGGCTTGTAATATTTCCCCAACCAAAAAAAAAAAAAAAAAAAAAAGAGGGCTGAAACGGTTCGAGACTAAAATAGTGCACCTTTAATATGGTGGGACGAATTTTGATCGTATTAAAAGTGAAGGACAAAATGGCGTAATATGCGTGGGCTATTTGTGCGAGTTTCCCCATTTGTAATTTCGTATGACCGCTTGAGTTTCCCTACACGAAATTTGCCCTAGATCCCTCTTGACTTGGCGCATTGTTTGTTTGGCCATACTTGAAGCTTTGTTGTGTATCCAGGCTCATCTTTCCCAGTTCTTAGGTTTTTTCCAATCTTCGTTTAGTTGCCGTTTTCTTTATTATTTGGATATCAGTGTTGGGATTTCCATCAGATCTAATGGCGGCCAACAAGCCCTCCTCCGCACTGGAGAAAGAACAGGTCCATTTCATAACCATTGATTATAGTATCTGCTTGGATTTCTTGGCCTCTCTTATTCAATCGTCTTTTTCGCTTGATAGTTGATATAATATGTTTTGAATGATTTTTTTCTCAGATTTTTGGGATGGCGGAGAAAGAGATGGAGTACAGAGTCGAGTTATTTAACAAGTAAGCTCACAAATAACTCTACCACAAGTCTACCATGTCATACTGTAACCGCCTTATTATTGCTTAAATTTTCTTTAATTGCTCACATTTTACTTCTGAGTTTTGTTCTGCTATACTTATTATTCTGTTTGGTATTGTTATCATTACTATTTTTTCTTTCTGTAATTTCATACTGCTATAAATGCTTCTTAGCTATATGTATATCTTTTGTCTGGAGCTCCTAATTTTTATATAAAAGTAAGTGAAACCTGGAGATGATCTGGGATTGTGTTGTTAACTGTTGTTGCTTCTTGTTAATGTGTAGCTTTTCTTGATTCTGTTCCCTCATCGTTCAATTGTTTGGTTCAGGCTTACTCAAACCTGTTTTAGCAAGTGTGTCGAGAACAGGTATTGTTATTTCGTACTTTCCTACTTTTGAGTTTCAAAAATGGAGGATGTTTATCCCCCAACCACTATAAAACCCGCAAATCATGTTGTATGTAGGATATAGTAACCAGGAATTATGCCTGTTGAAATCTAAGTTAACATGTTTTCAGGTACAAGGAATCCGAGTTGAACATGGGTGAAAACAGTTGCATTGATCGTTGTGTTTCGAAATATTGGCAGGTGAATACCGCATTTTCGTATGCAACCTTTGCACAGTTAAGAGCAGTCTGAAAATTTTGGATTTACCTACGGATGATTATGAGTAATTGCTTGGGGATATTCTAGAGTTGTGTTCATGCCATGAGAACTTCAGTCTAGTAGCTTGGTCAGTTTTTTTGAATGAACTTAATGTGGGAGAGGAGGCTGAGCAAGATATCAGCTTTGGTTTGTCTATGTCTGGTCCCCCATTCTTAAGTTTTTAAGCCTGTACATCGAAAAGTTACTGGGTTGGGTAGCTGAAAAATTGAGAAAAAACAGCTACTCGAGAAAAGATACTTAAGATTGTATTTCAAAGCTTCTAGAATTGCCATCTCAAGAAAGTTCTCTCAGCAAACGCGTTACTTAGAACTAAGAAGTGACAGAGTTTAAAACTTATTAGTTAGCAGTGGAAGCTAACCCTTCCTATGTTCATTAGAATGGGAAGAAAATCGTTTTTGTAATTGGTCAAATCATATTCTTATCTTTTTCGTTCTTTATGCAGGTGACTAATCTAGTTGGGCAATTGCTCGGTAACAATCAAGGTCCAATGTGAAGGAACTTTTTTTGCCTCAAATGAAAACTCATGGCAGAGCAAAGCTAGGCGTTTGCCATTTTCGCATTTTTGGATATCATCATATTTTTATGACTCTGATTCCATAAGGGATGCCAATTTTTTGGCGCCAAAGGAGATTATTTTTAATTTTCGTTTGTATGAAAACAAAAGAATTGTAAGACTAGAGTTGTTGGTATTTGAGAAACGATGATGTCGAAAAGGGCTGCATGCATATTTTGTTTGCCAAAGGGAAAAAAAAATTGATTGAGCAGTTTCCTATGTGATGAACAAGTCAACTGTTTACATGCTGGAATGCGTTCTGGTATTATGTGCCCTTAGGTGCACTGTGCCAGGTTGAGGTAGTTTCTCTTCTGGCAATGGAGACTCATTGTACGGAAAAGCATAACAGATGTTCTGGGCACATTTTCTGCTTTCTGCCTGTCTCTTACAAAACGTTAATACTTCTCAAGTGGCTACGTGCAATCTAATAACCCCCGGTCCAAAAAAGGGTCTCCATGACGGGATCCTCAAAACGTTAATACTATCTATTTCTATTATTTAGTCCCAGGTCTTAAGTGAAAACCCAAAAAGAAGAAGTATAAGGCAGTCAAATAGTTTTTTTTTTTTATGTGTCACATCAGCAGATATAATAAATGAAATTACGTAATTTTACATTGAATAGAAAAATGAACACAAAATATTAGACAGAGGATTTCGTCTACTCCATTAGGGCATGCATTGGGTCTTTGCCGATCGAGTGCGAGCAAAAAAAAAAAAAAGAAAATTAAAGCAAAACACAAACAATATGTATTAAGATTATTAATAGGGGCTTCGTAAAACTTCAGGAAATCCTAAAACTGCCCTCAAATCTCGTTGGAGCCACATTCAAATTGCTCCCCATCTGCAGAAACTCTCTCTTTATCCAAAGATTTACGAATGGACGTTAAAATGAAAGAGCCAAGATAAGACAAAAGCAAACACCATGCAAGCAAGGATGAAATTTAGGAAACGGCCGTCAAGACAACTTGGTCGAGTTTCTTCTGCGGCAGATTCCCCTGGCTCTGATGCTGCATTTGTGGCCACAGAGTTGGTGTCATTGCTCTGTTGCCTCGACTCCACATCACTTGCGCCAACGACATTCCGGGCAATTGAATTACATATTTCGCAGATCCTGTGGCAAAATATTAAAACCAGTCAAAGGTTTTCAACTGCAAAGCCGAAAGCAAAAGCTACCATAATTGTTACACGGTAAAAAAGACTGGGAGATGATAAACACCACGACCATGGTGTAGATTCAGGGAAGTGGCACTGCACAAGAACGCAGTTATAGTTCAATAGAACTAGAAAGGAGCAATTAGATTGTTGTCATGAAAGATTATCAAAAAATAACAAACAACAGACTATTGACTAGTCCTACATGTAAAAATCCACCCTCTGGGTTAAAGAGGCAACCGAGTGTAGTAAAAAAAATTATACGTTCGGAAGGAACAGCAACTACCATTAAGTTTTCTGCAAGAAAAAAGAAACGAACGAAGGCATGAAGATAAAATTTTAGACTTTTGATAACGAATCGGAAAAATCAAAGACAAAATACATGCAAGCTAATTTCATTAAAGACGGAATCAGAGGAGATTGTCGGTGTAAATAAAAATCCGACCAATAGGTGCCACCTGCTTTGCTTTTTTTTTTTTTTTTTTTTCCCTCTCTTTATTCTGCATAAACTTTAGCTAACTTTTCCTTCCACTAACTACACATTATGGCATCTCCATCCTCCTAAAAACAAACCAACCTTCTACGCTACACCTAAGAAACTTGTCTTTCTGACGAATAAAGTGCCGACTACCGAGTAAAAAGCTTCAGACGCTAAATAAAGATAGTAATAGGAACTCAAGCTTCTGATGCATCAATTGGTACAAGTCATAAAGCTCCGATGACCAAGAAACAGGGGATGTGACAGCAAGCAAAAGAAATTACTCAAATTAACCGAAACACTTTAAAGAAACAAATAAATTAACCACATCCTTCAAACTTCAGGAGACTATGCATGACGCACAAAATCACCGAATAACCAGTGACATAGATGAGACTAAAATCACCAAAAAGCTTCAAGTCGTCCATAATTAATCCCCTAACCCCTAGGGAAAAATGAAGAAGAAGAAGGGGAAATTAAAAAACCACAGAATCACTCACTTATTTCCTTTGATCTTGAACCAAGTCTCAGCACAATGCTTATGTGCAGCAGCCAAATCATCCTTACAAGAACAGCCCAATTCAATTGGAATCCCAGAATCGGTGCCGCTACTACTTTCCAAACTGAGATGACAAATCCTGCAATCTCTGTCTTGCATTCGCAAATTTAACTTAGTAACAGTCTCAAGAACCCTACTTTCTATATCCACCGAGCAGTCGGACTCAGCTACAGATGACACTCTCCGGGACTCCATCGCCTCCATAATAATCTGGTCATCATCATGAGACCCATCCCCGTCAGCGACTGAGTAAAATTGTGAAGAAGAAGACCCCTCTTCAGCATCAGAGAAACAAATGCTGCTGTCATCATCGCTGCTTGAGTCACCACCGCCATAGCCGCATTCTAAATCCACATGAGGCATCTGGACAATAGTCGCCATCACAATACACAATTGCAAATTACCCAGAAACAGATACTACCACTCTCTAATACGAGGGCCAGTGAGAAGAAGCATTAATAATGCCTTCGAAATTGAGGCTTTTGGAAGGCCTTTCAACGTGCAATGCCCATGTTAGGACTTTGGTTGATGAATCGATAGTCTATATATACACACACAGAGACGTATAGAAACGGAGGGTGACGGATTAGGTGACCTCTTTCCACTTCCCTTTCATGTTATTTACCTGAAAATCATTGAGAGAGAGAGAGGGAATGAATATGAGTGCGTGGGTGTTTGTGTAGGTGCGGGTTTAAGAATTCTGAGAAGTGCCAAGGAAATCTCTCAGAAAAATAGAATAAAGGGTTTAAGGAGAAAAAAGCAGTACGGGAATCTGACCGATAAAAGGAAGACTCAAGTCTAGCGCTTTTCTTTTCTTTATTTCCATCATTTTTTTTTTTGGGTTTTCTGTGTGTTAGGCTGAGTGCGTTTGCTCGCCCTGTACATTGATGTGCAATAAAGGACGATACAATATTATGTTACTCCAGAATCATGATTCATGACCCCTTCCATTTCCAAGTTCTTAACCAAAGTACTTTTGGCCCTTAGTTTCGACTTTTGAGTGCCTTAATTTTCGGAGGCAGAGGCGATGATCGAGACGGAGTGAGGTAGCGGAAAAATTTTGGTACCAGAAAACTATTTTGGAATGTTTGGGATTCTTTGAGCAATCAATAATGGCTTCTAATCCGTTAACAAGAATTTAATTGATGATAAGATTGGGGATGCCGTTTCTTGGTGATTGGGATGGGAAGCGTGGTTAGAATAAGGAGTTTTAACTTAAGTGTATTGATGAGTGCTAGGTGAGTATTAGTGATAAGCAACTGATCTTTTGGTCTAGTGGTCTTCCCGATCCTTTTTAAGCTTGGTGATGTAGGAGGCACAAAAATTGTCACAATATATGACGATTTTTATTGGCCAATTTCGATGGAGTTTCTATTTACATTGAGTTCCCTTTCCCTCCCCCTAGAATAGGTTAGTTTAAATTATAGAAATTCTATCGTATCGATAAAAAAAAAAAAAAGAGTATTAGTGATAACACTACCCTCAAAAGAGAAAAAAAAAAAAAAAGTATTAGTGATAACGTGTCAAGCGCTGCCCCGTGCTCCCACGTATCCTATACTCCTATTGCTGTATTCATTTGGAAAAAACACGTGTGTTTTGTCAGAAATTGAAGCGAAGGTACCCTTCCTTCTCTCCAAGTAAAAGAGTTTCCGAGTGTCATTTTAAGAGGACTTGGCCTGATAAGAAGTCTTCAACACGCTGCGATTGTTCTTTCCCTCGTCCGCTAAAGTCCTGTGAAGGCTCAAAGATTATTGACCAAGCGAGAAAAGGAAATAGCTAGAAGTTTTTTTTTTCCCGGTTATTTACGCAAGAAAATGCTGCCTTGTTCTAAAATCCGGGAGCCTATCATCTAAAATTATACTCCACTTTTTTCTGTTCGATAGATAATTTTTAATATACTCTTATTTCTATTATATATATATATATATTAAGAAGAGGGGTGGAGACAAAGAGGTCATCGAGAGATCCAAAGAGAATTCAACCGGAACTAAACGTTGTACCCTGCGGTCACATATGAAATTTTGAATTTGGAATGCAAGACCTGCGCTCAGGGAAGGATTTAAGGCTTCTTTGGAAAGTCGGTTTTCACCAAAAAATTTCTATATTTCCGTGAACACATTTTTCAATCATCTTTTTACCTTACATATATTAAATCACTATAGTACATTTTCTATAAAAACTTCAAAAAATTGTAATCTAAAAAAGTTTCCCTCACGTGGCTAACTCGCCAGCTACATGGCTATGTGATAATTCTGCGAACTCGTTCTTGTGCTCTACACCGTGCAAGTAACACACCAGTTATTGTAATTTGTAAAAATGACATACATCATCAACCCATCACCAGTCTCGTGGAATAGGAGGTCAAGAGTTCAAAGTTTATCTCCTTTCAAAAATTGTTACTTAATGTGACTTCTCTTAAATTTATATGAGTGCTCAATACACCCGTATGATCTAATAGTGGTTTAGTTCTCGTCAATTTTCCGTGACCCTTTTGGATCACCTCTCTTGTATAGGTTAAAGTAGGATTAGAAGTCGAAATAAGTGTAGATGGTGATAATAGACTAAAAAAAAAACAAAAATAGGTGAGCCGGTGGTCTACAATCTAGGATTCAAGACCGGTACAGTGGAGAGAGGACCAGTACTATCGGAGTTTGATATGGTTCGGTTTTATTATTGTACTTTTTATATTATATTATTTGGTGTATAATTATATTAGTTATTATATTCATAATAAAAGTAGTATATACAAATAAAACATTATAATGTATTCATATAATAGAAATTTGTACATAACGTATTTGTACAATGACAAGACAAAATCGCACGCACAAATACAACAATTATACCGAGTACATGTCCGATGCAGTGCATGGCAATCCCAATCCAGGCAACAACGAGCATTGACCGTATCCAATGTTGGTCCACCTCCGGTCACCCATAAAAGTGCCGTCAACTGACGACTGACGACTGACGTTGCATATGCAATGGGAGGTGGTGCAAGTAAGGACCTTTGCGTGAACATCTTAAAAGCCATCCATCCATGCATGGGTCCCACGACCCCACCCACGCTGCCCTCTCTTCTCTACTACTAGGAGGAAAAAAGAAATGAACATGCCCAATTTGATAAAATGATTTATACTTAATCAAAAATGGATATGCTCTCAAAATAGTGAAAATATTTATATTAATATAATTTTTGAGCTTTTAATGCAGAAAATAGACCATATTTCAAATCTTCCTCATTCATATAAGAACTCAAATACTGATTCATATAACTCAAATATAGCGAAAGTACGAAAATCACAAAGGGATGGATACAAATATAAGCTAACAATATAAAAATCAATAATCATCTTGCGGTGGGACACTTTCTTAGCTTACCTAAACTAACTAAAGATAAATTCTGAAGCTATAACAAAGCTAATATTTGTCCTTTTTATAATATCTATCCTTATACCACTTAATATTTGTCCTTTTTATAAAGTACAAATGTATACAAGCTAAGCTTCATGTTTTGGCGATCCCATTGTAATAAAGAACCAGTAAACCAGAAGCCACCGTTAGACACCGTTAGACACACATAATAGTGCTCTACAATAGTAGTGAAAAGGGAGAAAAATAGAAAAAAGTTCTGGGTACAAAAATCTGCCAAAAGCAGTCTCATTATCTACTCTTGTTCCTTGCTAACTTTAGCTGTGCTTTGCTCCGGGAAAGGTTGCATTCTCACATATGAGTTTCTAATCAACGTTTCCCCTTTCAGAGCAGCAACATAGCTGTCATTTGTGTCCTCTTTCCTCTGCAACTCCTCAAGGAATTCTCCCAGCCTCTCTTTATTCACTTCCCACATTATCTAATTTGACAAGTACAAGCAAACAAAAGTTTGATCAGTAATCCTCACCCTAAGAATAAGTGATTTGAAAACAGTCGTGCAAACAGATGCATAATCCAACAAGAAATCCAAGGAAAATACCCAGTAGCAATTCAGCAAGTTTAAATACCTTAAGAACCATAAAATCCTAATAACACAGCATTTTCCTTTCTTTGGTAATTGAAATCAGCCAACAAAAAGTATCAGTAAACACTCTCATAGTTTTATGCTTAGAATAACTAACATTGTTAGGATGATCTTCACTTCACACACAGCTGAAATGTTGGTACATCTGTTTAAAGATGTACTTCACTTCATAGTTTTATACTTAGAATGTGTATATATACATATATATGGTTTCTGGTTTTTTCTTTTCTTTTTTTCAATTGAGCCCTTAACTTGGGAAGACTATGGAAAGAAAAAAAGGAAAACGCTGATATATCAGGATCGGTTCAGTATATTAGCAAGTAAAGCAATAAGTTCCACGTACATAAATAGACATCCAAGATTTTCTGACTTCTAATTTATTCATCTAATAATCACGACCCAGAATCGGTTTCTCTAATGAGAATTCTTAGAAACCAAAAAAAAAAAAAAGATCTTGTGATTAAAAGACTGCAATTAGAGCTAAGACATGACAACAAACTACCTGGATTTCCCGAGAGAATTAAAATCAATGTTCCTAATTAAATTTGATTATCATTTTCAATTTCATTCATTTCAAATGCATCCTAGAATTGGTTATACCTTCTTGATTGATTGGACAAGTCCATCAATATATATCTAGGAGCAGTACAGTTGATTCCAACAGCAACAACTCAGTCGCATAAATCAGCAATTGCAGCATAATCTGCTATAGGATCCCCTTCCTCAAGAATCTCAGCATAGTCCTATATCAAGAAGCAATCAGGCAAAATAGACAGCAAATCATCTAAATTGCTCTAGCGAAAGAAATGTTTAAGGTACACTGAGATAGTCACAACTCAAAAACAATACCATAGCTTCCAATTTGTTTGGAATTGTCTCAAATGCAATCAGGTCAGCACCAGAGTCAGCAAGAACTTGAACTCATTCTTTTATGGAAATGCTTCAAAGTCTCTAGAGTCACTGCATCCCCATATATGCCACTGCAATGCATGAGAAGGTCACAAGTCCTCGAGAGGAAAAGTTTCTAGCACAAGTTCAAATATTTCAATTCAGTATTTGGGCACTGAAATACTACTCTGCTTCCAATGTAAGAAGAGAATTAAAAGATTCACCTATATTTAGAACCATCAGCAAGATACGCATTGGCTTCCAACAGAAACAGCAACAAGGAGTTGACGTTTAAAGCTTTTGGATCTCCAATAACATCCCAAGAACCTTTGCTGGCTCTATCATAATATATATCCCGTATCTCGCGGGCTATTTCAACACTTTTCCTGAGTAAAGCTTCACCATCTTCTCTTGATATCCCCTTAGTTGCAAATTCCTGAAGAGTAGCCTGTCTCCCAAAAAAGGCAAATCAAAAGTCCTCAACTTCATGATAAATACTTCCAATAATAATTAAACAATAGCCATAGGAAGGCCCGAAAAATGAAAAAATTAAAAAGACAGCCATATAACCTGATATGATACAGATATTATGATATTACCACCAATTTTTAGGTAATCAAGGTGTACCTGTCACATGAAATAAACAATAAAGAATAAAACAAGAAAACCACATGGCCAAGGTCCTAATATTTAATTGTAGTTGAAAGAATAAGGCCGAATTCATACAACTTTTTAAGCTAGCTACTTTGGAACTCCTTAAAATTATCTGAATAGTTTCTTTGTCATCACTGGTAGCAATTCAGGGTTAGTAATAGACCACAGAATTAATCCTGAATTAATCCATTGTAGATTTTAACCAATATAGAAAACATTACAAAAAAAAGATTGATATTTTGCCCCTTAAGAAATCACCGCACAATTCTTCATTGTGATATCTTAAGGTGAAGTAAATTTCTAATCTTCACAAGTAATATGTATTGGATTTTAACAATCTCATGGATTAATCAACACTTTTACCAAAATATGGTTTAACGTTAATCTATCAAACTTGTTGACATGGATTACACTTATGGACCACAAAATACAAGCCAGCTAGCCAATAACATTACCTTTTTCACTGTTCACAAACTTAGCAAGGCTTCTGCAGATCGTGCACCCTCATACCTGAGAATAAAAATAAATTCATGAGGAATACAATTGTATGAACTCAAGCCATGTAAGTTGTATTTACATAGAGTCAACATCAGGACAAATATAATTTCAACAGAGCAAGGTAAAAAAACAAGCCTTTTTGAAAACTCCAATATTTCACATATACTCACTTTTTGGGTTCCAAAGAACCTTTTGCAAACCATTGGACGGTGGGGGTAAACAGAAACACCATATTCGCTGCAAAGGCTCTTATGCTCATTGCAGTCCACCAACAACAAATATAATTTGATAAAAGTTCAAAACTTAAATTTATTTTTGCTATAATTCACAGCTAAACCATTGATTAATCTTTTAAATATTGAAATTAAATCAGATGCAAAATAGAAGATTCACAACAGCGAAGAAAGTTAGACTGATATTGATGCCAACAAGCAACCAGAGAGCAATGGACCTCAAGTTCCACTTTCTCAAGATTTTAGTGATGGAAATCAAATAAAACATATCCAGTTTGCAAGGATGAAAAGAAAAATGTAAGCACTTTTTCAAAAATATGAACACGGACTCAGAGGTGCCATTAAATGTAGTTCAATGAACCAGAGAGAGAGATAGAGATAGAAGCAAGAACCAGAACAAAAGAGGAGAAGCACTTACAACTTGTCCAAGAGAACGCATCCTAAGGCCTCTTGTATGCATAAAATCAGTCAACGTTCGACCATCCACTGGTGAGAGTTCCAAAGAACCAAAATCAGCAACCTGTATTGCATAATGAAATGCCAGGGAAACTTAATTTGGTTGTTATGTTAAAAAAAAAATTAAAACAGAACCAGAGAGAGGGAGAAGAAGATATTCCATTATTACCAGTTTAGGAAGAGCAATTTCATTGTAATACTTCTGTGATAAGCCAATCAGCTCTTGCATTGACTACCAATCGCAAGTAGCAGGTTAGTGCAAATCATACAGTTTAGGGAATCTTTATATCAACTGCCAAAAATAAAATCTTGTACCTTGCGATGAAGCCCAGTCTCTGACTCTTTTAACCGAGTAAAAGCAGAATCAGACAAGAATGTCTTCAATGGCATCAGTCTCAACATGAGATTCTGTAGATAGTGACACTGATTTTTCAGCTTCCACACTCATGTCACCTGCAACAGGCTTCAAGTTTCCAGATTGACTTTTCATACTACCGGTGATCTCCAGGGGTTGACCTTGAATTCTAGAAATCGACATGGACGCTATTATAGCAGTGGCACGTCCTTGGGCGGTAACAAGCCCGTGGATGAGAAAAAAAAGCAGAAAATTGCACGTCAGGGACAAGGGACAAAAGAAATACGAACTTTAGCCAAAAAAAAGGGGGCAGAGCAGAGGCAACCTGAAGAGAAGATCCGACCTCACCGGAGAGGAAGAAGAAAGCTTAATACAACAAAGGAGGAGGAGACCGAAGTTTTTTCCAAACGAACGGCACAAGATCTGCAACTAACAGTGAAGATGGGACCTCCTTGGGCGGTAAGAAGGCTGTGGCTAAGCAAAAAAAGCAGAAAGCTGCACGTCAGTGGAGAAGGGACAAAAAAACACGAATTTTACACAAAAAAAAAAGAACAGAGGCAACCTGAAGAGAAGACCCGACCTCACTGGAGAGGAAGAAGAAAGCACAAGATCTGCAACCAACAGTGAAGATGGCACGTCCTCGGGCGGTAACAAGCCCGTGGATGAGAAAAAAAAAAGCAGAAAACTGCACGTCAGTGGACAAGGGACAAAAGAAATACGAACTTTAGCAAAAAAAAAAAAGAAGGGCAGAGCAGAGGCAACCTGAAGAGAAGATCTGACCTCACCGGAGATGAAGAAGAAAGCCTATTACAACAAAGGAGGAGGTCAACAAAATTTTGTACCAGTTTCCAGAGGATGAAGGAGGAGGTCAACAAAATTTTGTACCAGTTTCCAGAGGATGCGGATAAGTGATAGAGCAACATTATCCCAAAAAAAAAACCAAAAAAAAGAAAGAAAGAGAATGTAGTGGGAGAGAGAATGCAGCGGGAAGAGAGCAAATGCAGCAGAAGAACAGAAAGACGGAAGCGCGGGCACATGGGACACTGCCAGGCGAGGCCAGATGGGAAAACTAACGCGCGATGCGCGAACAACATGATGATTCCAATCCACATGCCGGGCACGTGAGAGGACGACGAAAATTCTGGCTGAATGGAGTTGCCATGTTATCTACTTATGTTGAAAAAAATTAACATTACGTTGTTTCCATTTTCCCAGAAAAATAATGTGCAGAGATGCATGCAGGGCCGTTTGGAAGCTGTAGATTTTTGTGCACGGGAGCACCGGGACAGGTGCGTTCTTGAAAATGACTCTTTGAATACTAGTACTAGTATTTAAATAGTATTAATGAGTTGTGTAGGATGGATGGATGGAAGATAAATGACCTGATTTGGGTCCACCGGTTCATGATGTCATGCAACTGAACTTTGCATCAGTTGCAAACTTATCAATTTCTTTGGATCAACAGTGCAGCTCATGAGCAAACTCAATGTGCTAGCTTCGAACTATGGATGATTATGTAATCTGGGGTGGTCTGATCCACCGACAAATGTATTCTGGATATGTTATCAGAGCCGAGTGTTTGGTTGAATGAAATCTGAAACTATTTCTATCCCAATAAAATTTTTTTTTTCTAGAATTAGCATGTTAGGATTGAGACAGAAGGTTGTCACATTCCTGAATTTTAGACGCTTAAGCTAGCATATGAGGGACAAAATAAAAGAATTCTTTTCCAAAATTTATTCAGACTTGGTATGGAGAGAAGCTTGGTTGGCTAACTACACAACCTCTCCGCATCAAATCTCCAGCACTGAAAAGTGAAAACTATCGAACTCGCATGTGAAACACCACCTAAAAGCTTCACTCCCACGTTGAGAGTGAGATCAAAGATTCAAGCAACAAAGGAATCCCGAAGCAATAAGACAAATATGCCAACAATTTTCTCACATCGAATGGATGCACTTCGGTGATACGACACTCTAGAAAGATCAGTACAGACGGATATATAATCTCCTTCCACATATTCTGCTTGACGCATTCATTGATCTCAATTTAAATATTTATTAATTTTCTGGGTTCTGAGGAGTGTCCGGAGGCCACTTAAACCTTGAAGCAAACTGGGATGGCTATCCCCTGAACATCAGCTCCCGGAATCTCCATTATTGCCGTTGGAGGTTCACCCGAGTGAATAGAGTTGGTTTGTGGCTGCAATCTTGCTCTAGCTAACCAATCAGCACTTCTACCGTCTTCTCTCCAGACATGCTGGAGTCTTCACGTCCAATACTTGCTCAGAAATTCTTTGATTTGCTTCACTGAATTGAAATGTGGAGATGTAATTTCCACTTCCTCTATAAAGTGCCAAGCTCGCTTTAGAATCTATCTCCAAAATGACACTTCTGTTCCCCTGGTCCCATGCTAACTTTAATCCCGTAAAAATGCCCCTCAATTCAGCAGTATCGTTGCTTGCAAATCCCAGGTTCGCTGAGAACCCTCCTTTCCGTCGCCCCCCATTTGTCTCATGTTAGCCCACCTGCACCCGCTGTACCAGGAGCTCCATAACGTTAATCCACTCCACTGCTCTGGTGGAGGATGCCTCTTGATGAAGCCTGCAGTTTCAAGTTCTTGCCTCTGCCTTAGAGATTAGGCGACGCTTGCCTTCTCTGCCTGTTCTACAAGAACTTCAGGAGGAGTCGAAGGCAGATGATCATCACCTTCACATACAAAACCAGTCTTGGCCCTCCATGCAAAATACACAATCTGCTGGAGAAGTACTTGCCATTACCTCGACCTCAATTTATTTCGATACTACTACTAAAAACGATTGAAGTTTTTACCGCTATGGTATAGTTTCCTGCCTAAGCCAGAAAGACTACAATGAATAAAAGAGAGGGAAAAAAATCTGTTAATGACCAAAGTGCTACAGTTCGGTGGTTTGTCAAACAAGAAACCACCAGCTCTACAGGATACAAGGGAAACCTATCACCACCATCAGGAATTCAAGCATCATTGCAAAAAATGGAAACTCATGCTCCTAGATAAACTGTGACAGCCCCACCTCCCCGTAAGGCGAACCAAAGGGATCGGCGGACAGCCTACCAACTCTCGCCAGAACTCACTCACGCACTACAGTCCTCAAATAAATTACAATGCACATCTCAAATATTACATCAAATTCTCCATGAATTTACATATCATAACGAAGCAAATACTACTTCCCAAGCGTAGAATGTACACATACATTCGTTTCAATTCCAAACGTTCACACATTCCTAACTATTACACAAGATAAATCTAAACTCCAACTGTACAGAAGATAATCCATCCAGTTACATGAAGAACTTATTACAAGCGCTTCCTTTTGCCTCGAGCCCAACCACAGCTCAGGAACCATCCATCACAGACATTGCCTTGCTCAAATCCAAACTCTAGATCACAATTATCATATCAAACAAAAGGAATTCTAAAAGCATCGAGTTCCTATCACCTTTTGACATTTTAATTACAATTGAACCTACACTTATCCGATTGAAACGAATCTTATGGCGTTACGAAGCTAAAACATTTACCAATATTTCTTATGAAGACCTCCAAAGCAAAATTATACATTTTGATGGTCAAAAATCAACATCTTAGAGAAAATGGCAAACTGTCCGTGAAACAGGGCTTAGGGTCAGTCAAGGGTATTTTGATCATTTCACTTGCTACAGTACTCCAATCGATTTGAAATTTTGCAGATAACTAGCTAACTCATATATCTATAACTTTCATGTTTTGAGCAAGGGCCGATTCAGTCTTTCTCAAGGTTGAACATTCAGTGCAAAAATAGGACAGATTACTACCAAAATTGGAAACTCTAATCTGGAATTTATGCACACAAACCAGAAATTTCTTTAGGCAAATGAAATTAACACCTAAACTCAAGATTTTCCATACATCAAAACTGGTAAATCATGACCAACCATTACTCATCATCTAAAGGCAGAAAAATCCCCAATAAATCCGAAAATTCCATAATACTACTTCAAACCATAAACTTATCCACCAAACAACATATTTAATCTCTCCAATCCACTAATACACAATTTATTGAAGTAAAGAGGAAGTTCTTGACAAGATACCTTCAAACCCCTTGAAAACAAGCAAAGCAAAGCCCTTTATTCTTAAAACACTCCACCCTTAGCTTGCTATCACCTTGGTTGTGAAGTTAATCGGAGTAGATCGTGACTCAATCGGTTGAAACTCAAGATTTGGTGAAGAAAATCAAAGGAAAAAATTGGAGTTTTCTCTCTTTATTTTTGCTCCCAAAAGGTTCGGTCAGTTTGGAGATAAAGAAAAGTGGATTTTTGAACCCCAAATGAAGTCAAAAAGTGAAGACTTAACCATTAAGAAAACTGGTCCATGACAGAATCCGGCCGGAATCTGGCAGGATTATGACGTGTCACAGGCGGCAGCCAAGTTTGACTGGCTGTTTTCCTTCATTCTTATCTTGTTTTGGCTGAATTGGGTCTTCATTTTTGCTCCTCCTTGGCCGGCCACTTTGAGAGGAAAAACCAAGAGAGTTTCCTCAATTTCAACTTCCATTTTTCTCAAATCTTGAATTTTCACCGATGGTCTTGCAAAATACTCCATAAAAGTGACTTGCTAAGGAAGATTAAAGAAGGTGGTGGAGTAGTTTTGGCAAAGGAAGCTCTAAGTTACTATTTTTCTTGAGTTTTAAGGTAAGATGCTAAGGAACTTCCTCTTTGTTCTTAATAATGGTAAAATAGTGGTTTCTAGTTGCTAAAATTGCTATTTTGTGGAAGATTTATGGTTGAAAGTAGAGTTTTGCTAAATTTTAGATTTATTGGTGATTTTTCTGATTTTATATGATAATCATTGGTTGGCCATGGAATGATAGATTGATATGGTGCAAAATGAAACTTGTGTATATTAGTTGTGATGGTTTGCGAAAAATTTTCGTTTGTAGGGTAAATTTCAGTTCTAGGGTTTCGAATTGGGGCTTTTTTGTGATTAGTATTGGAGATATTAATTGGCTCAAGTGGAAGGGTATTGTGGTCCTAATTAGGTGTGTTTTATAGTCTATGATTTGTATATGTACTTGTGATTGAATTGAGATGTGATTGGTAATGTATTATAGGAGGGAAAATAAGGAAATTAAGGGGAAGTGCTGTCCCATCTTTGAGAGTATTTGATTACTTTGAGTGAGTGGACTCTTGGTAGAAATGAAGGGTTTGGTCTCGAGCAATGTAATGAGTTATGATGGATGAGATTCATGAGCCGTGGTTGGTGAGTGATTCCTTAACTATTTGCAAAGTTACTTTTCGCACTATTTCTTGCATTGCATACTCGATTGCATATCATGAGTGCTTGCATGTGTATCATGAAATGATTTGGTTCCAATGAGTTCTTGGGAATTCGTGTGCGTAGAACCAACGTCTCCACCTTTGATTATTTGGAACAATTGGCTCCCTTGTACTGTTTGACTGACTGGATCCATTTGAGCGTTGGAGTTCTAAGTACGATGATTTTGCTGGCTCACAAGAGCAATAAACGTACATTTGATCATTGATTCTTAATCTCATTTAAATGCACTATTATGAAGCTTATTTGATTACTGATTTTATTAGACACTCGCTGAGTTTCTAGCTCACCCCAAAAATATATTTTCTCCCCACAGGGCTCGAGGCAAAGGAAGCGCGTGTAATGAGTTATTAGTATGACTGGATGAAATATCTCTTGTATAATTTGAATTCGCACTCGATTCACTTGTGTAATGGGAAGTCGTGGAACTTTAGAAGATGTAATACTTGAGACTGATATTGGAATTGTATTCTTTGAGAATTGAGGACTTTTTATCTTATTTAGGGAATTGTACCACTAATTGAGATTTGTAATGTATGTAAGTATACGTTCTAAAATTGAAAAATATTATTTCATTTATTATTGAGGTTGTACCCTATGTTCTTGGATGTGGCTGATGTAATTTAATTGAAAACTGTAATGAGTGAGTGAGTCCCGACGAGAGTTGGGTAGGCGGTCCGCCGAACCCTTTGGTTCGCCTTAGGAGGAGGTGGAGCTGTCACATAAACTTAAGAACATGTTTAGCACCACCAGCTTCAGATTTCCCATATATTGAGGGCCTTCTCATTGATGTTGGATGCTACAAGTTTGAACTTTAGATTGAGATGACAAAATTGAGAAGAAATTACAAGTATCTAGAATAGTGTTAGAAGCATCCGTGCTTGCAGTGATTTTGAAGAAGATAGCCACAAAAAGTGACTCCAAACTGATCCTCTTTGTCTAGGGTTGCACGTGCACAGGGCAACTCAGGTGGGAGAAAAGAAAAACAACAATCAACTAAATGAAGCTCAAACCTACAGGGGAAAAAAAATGGAGTATGAAAATTACCATAAAGGAACAAAGAAGGAATATAAAATTAGAGTTAGCATACTTGTCTTTACGTGGTGAAACTCTTCTGGACAAGTAAGATTATTAACCTGTGCTTCAGAGAAGGAAACATTAAATTATAGGAAAATAAAACTGCTCCATGTTCTCAAATTGTAACTACACCAGGTGTCAGGAAAAGAATAGGAAATACGAAAGCAAACAGGAGCTAAAAAGAGACAAAGGAGGCACTTTTTCACCATATCTTTCATCACATACCACCCAGGCAAAGAATAACACATTAGGCAAAGAAGCCAATCCTTAGAATCAGTGGCACTACATCAGAAAAACGCTTTCTCCAGTATCATGAATAACGTTGCTAATCAGTGCATCATCTTCTCTTCCGAGTCAAACAAGTCACATGCAGACCACTTCCTCTGGGTGCTTCTTTAAGGGGCAGTTCTTATTCATGAGATTAATCTTATGAGTTTTTCTGCAGGCTTATTTCAACCACATTCTAGCTCCTTTTATTCTTCAAATTCCATTGAAGCTTGTCATGCAGTCAGCAAATCAAATTCGACCTCCAACATTACCATCTATCAGCTGAGTCCTCCTGCTTCACGGGCTTGTCACAGGTTCAGTCATCATGCCCATTAATCTGCATTTCCGATCTTCCAAACTGTCATACATTCTAATCCCTTCAGGAGCTCTGATTTGCAAGTGAGATCTACTAGACATTACGCTATTAGCTGCATTTTCCACACTGTTATTTTTTAACCCACTTTTGCACCACGCAACATTACTGATATCAGCAGCTAATGTGGCTAATTCGTGGCTTGGGAAGGATGGAGGCTCTGCATAGTCAACAAATTCAGGCCCTAACAATGAGGTCCTGGATTCCGCTGTACCAGAACTTGCAAAGCAACAGTGGCCACATTGATGAGGGATCAGTTGATCACCATAAGCTGCTTGAAACAAATTGCTCATCCCACTACCAGATTTTAATACTGGATCCAGTGTTCCTTCAAAGTGAGCCAGCCTTGCACTTGGCAATGAGGTTTCGAAGACTTCCAAGGAACTATAAACGCTAAAAGCACTAATCCGAGCCACAGGCCGGAACAAGGAAGGAGGGTCTCCTGCTTCAGAACTGCATTGATAGTCAGTTTGAGTACTAATCTCATGCTGCTCATCATCCATCTTTTCCTTAGAGCTAACATCCTTACTGTCCAAGGACTTTGACGAGTTGACATCTCCACATGATAGAGTCTCATTGGATGATGCTTTAGATTTTTCGGCACTAGCATCTTCCATCACCTGGCTGGAATCAAATTTAAACTTGTCAGAATCCATGCAACGGCGCCTCAGGGTAGAATTCCAGTGATTCTTAATTGCATTGTCAGTTCTTCCCAGCAAAAGCCGTGCAATGGATGCCCATTTGTTGCCATGGATAGCATGGGCCTGTAGAATAATGCTATCCTCTTCATCTGCCACAATTGATGGTTTTATCAACCTCATCATCCTCTAGGAAAAGGATAAAAGATTGCAGCTCTTATCTAGGAAGAAAGATAGTTGAGAAGGATGCACAAACTGTTCTACTTAGTAGTAGCACGAATAGGAGTATAAGTCCATATACAGACATGAGGACAGGCAACGCTTAGGATCTAAGGAAATCCAGTACACATTTTCAAGTAAAAGAATGAACAAATTAGTAGCAATAACAGGATTGACTGAACATATACGGAACTCATGGAAGATGAATAATGCACCAACATTTGAATCTAACAGTTCAAAGAATCCAACAGTTCAAAGAATCGTCTTACGCCCAGAACTATAAGGGAAGCAAATTAAAGCACCTGTAAGTACTTATTCTCAGACTGTGCCGTATAACGAGCTAAATAAGCCCAGAAATTGGATTATATCCTAGACCACAGATTGGGGAAAAAAAAAACAAAAGAACAAAATGAAGAAACATACAAAACCACAATTGGAGGCAGGCTTCTGTTGTAACGTTCCTGCGGTTAATTGTACGAAAACTGAGAACTCTAATAGTAGTAGAAAGAAGTGGAATTGGAAAACTTACCGGTGAAAGGTTTGCGCTTAACGGCTGGGTCCAGCTGATTACACCAACGAAGGCGACAAGACTTGCCCGATCTACCGGGAATTCCACGGGCAATCAGGCTCCAATTCCTCGCCCCAAAATTGCTCACAAGTCGACCCAATATCGCGTCCTCTTCTTGCGACCACGGTCCTTTGACTCGGTCCAGTGACTTCTTACTGTTAGCTTGGCTGCTTCTACTACTTCCGCCGACACCGCCGCTTCCACTGCCATCCTCAATCAGCACCACGCCATCCTCCCCGTCGTCGGAGTCTCGCTTTTCCGACGTGATGACATTGGCGCTTCCGTCATTAGCGGTTACAACTTGCATCTCGTCGTATATTTCTTTTTCCAAGTTTTCCCCAAAAAAGAAGTACTAATTTTGTTGAGTTAAATTGAAAGCACAAATACGTCGTCAGCGGCGAGCTGCTGACCACTACCAAACTGCGTTTGCAGGAATGTTTTAAGCGTGAACAAAAGTGCGGGCAAAACTTTTCAAGCGGTCTCGTGGTTTCCGTTTTTACTTTTCACCGGTACTGTAAATCATTAGTCACCTTTTTATTCTTCTTTTTGGGGTTTTCCGATGGTAAGAGTTCAAACAGAGAAAAGGGCGGAGGTTTAGGGTCCAACATAGACTTCATAGCCCCCTGACTAATACGCCTATAAGTTCCGCTGGGTTTGACGGCAATCTTTAATCACCATCGTGTCCTGCATAAAATAAGACAATTGTACAGCTGCTCCTTTTTTTCCCCGAGACGGGCCACTTTTTTACACCCAAAAAAAAAAAAAAAGAGTGTGTATTTAATATAAGAATTGTGATGATGGATGATTTTTGTGGAAGTATTTATAAATAATTTATGATTTTAAAGGCATATTTTGACCTGTGATTAAAATCGAACCTACTTAAACTTTTTATATAAAAAAAAAAAAAAAAAGCTGTGATTTCAAAGAAGCTAGGTTGGGGCATCACTTAATGGTTTGCTCGAGACTCGAGTCCCTTCAAAATTCACAAGCTTGCGTTACTATTATATATAAGGCTCCTGTCTCTCTTAGGGGACTTAATTGATATTGGCTTTGTTTTAAGGTACCATGATACTATAATATTTTTCCTTTTTATTTGTTTAAAATGATTTAACCAAATTATTGTTTTTGTTGAAATGTGATTGGAAAGGTAATGGCTAAAATATCAAACATCCATGAGCTTACATCCGTAAGCTTTGAACTAATGTCTTTATTTATTTATTTATTTATTTATTTATTGTGAGTGAGATGACTTGCAAGTCCTAAAGGGTGAGATGTGGCAGTTCGGATAAATATTTTGTATCCTTTATTGAGCTCCTAATTTTATCTTAAAAATTAATTTTTACCCTCATCATCTAATCACATTTGCTAATGTAGTAGTCTTGCATAACTCCCTTAAAATATTTTAACTGTCAAATTAACTATAATTGTATTAAAGAAAAAATTACTAATAAATTGCAATTTTCATGAAAAACTTATATGAAATTTAATTTTGTAAAAATAAAATTAATATATTCATAAAAATTAATAATTATTTTAAATTGCACACCCATTATGTGTGCCCTTAACACTAATATAAAAAAAATATTGATAGCTGTTTACTTTTATCTACGACCAATAGGCAATGGGTATTAAAAAAGTTTTTACGTAGTTTCTTCATGCTAATAACTAAGCAATTTCTTTGAGTTTTCCTCATTTGATCACATTAAAAAGACAAAATATATTTTTTTCATGAAATTTCAATATCTAAACTGGTGGGCGGTTGGGAGAAGGAATGAGTTGGGTGGTATAGAAAATGAGTGTAAGTAAGAGGTATCAAATTCGGAACTTTCCATTTACGCTAAAAAAATTTAAAAAAAATTGTGGGTGGTCCAAAAACAGGGGAGGAAAGATGCAACTGTTTTTATTCTTTTTAAATAAAAAATTTCCCAAAATTTGACAACAATTTGTTTGGATTGTAAGTTATTTGGAATATTTCTACTGAAGCACTTTTTGTGATGTGATGTATGTGAGATAAAAAGATAATTGGGAAGATAAAAATGTGTATTGAAAATTGTAATGATGATGTAAACAAATATAATTGGGAAAATAATTTAATGTCCAATCCAAAGAAACCTGGTCCGTGAAGCCCACCCCGGGAGAATTAAACATAAAGGATCAACCCTAATAAAGAGAAAGGCGACAATTTCTATTTTAAGTTGGTTTTTCCAATTATTTTCTGAAAACAGCTCCTTAACAACTTCAACCATTCCTCCCATTCCTTACTCCAAATAAATAAATAAACAAAGAAGAAGATAAGGGAAAAAAAGAAAATATGCAAATGGACGTTGACGATGAGAATTAAGTTGTTTATTTGGGGATCTCCTTTTCAAGCATATCAACCCCTGCAACGCTACGTAGTTTGCCTTTAAAACCACCAACTTCACCAACCCAAAATAAAAATGTTACACCACAACCAAACCCAAAAAAGAAGAAAAAATCTCAAAGTTGCACGCGTGAATTACTTGACCAATCGCTGACATAGAGTGTAATGCTAGCCAGCAGTCATTCCCAATTCTAATTCTTGTTCGTCATCATCACTACTAATAACTAATCCATCATGATGATCACAAACCTTAGCTGTTTCTGTATAATTAAGATCCAGCTCTTAGCATTTGCCTTAATCACTAAGCACTAAAACCATCTTCAATAAATTAAAGGAAAAATTCTCAAATTAGTCCCTCACATATTTGGAAATTTTTTTTAATCCCTCACATTCAAAATCAACCAAAATAGTCACTTGGATATTTTAGTTTTGCGGTTTTGATCCCAAAACTTATTTTTGCTTAACTTTTTGGCCAAAAAACGCACGCCTGCCTCACATACCCATAATTTCAAAGCCAAATTAGGAACAAATTTTATTTCCCTTAAACACACAGACACATATACATACACATGATCTTCCCTTTTCCTCAATTTTCATCTACCAAACTCTTTACACGTAAGACCTATTGCTTATATAATTTTGAATCCTTGTTATTGTCAATTGGCTGTGAAAGTTTTTATTCGAAGGGATACTCTTGGACCTGTGAATATCGCCTATTCTAGTGTTTATTAATTAGTGGTGATATACAATCAGTTTGCACCAATGGAAACCTTTATACAGGAGTTCTTTTTTTATTTTTTTTTGCCATATTCTTAAGAGTAGATTGTTTACATCAAATTGAGTGTTTCATTTTGCCTTAGCAATAATGAGCACATAAAGTAAGCATGCATTTTTTTTTGTCGGGAAATTGAGTAAAAATTAGCTTTGAGACCAAATGGGCAAAATTTTTGTATTTGATGGACTATTTTGGATGATTTTAAATATGAAGATCTAAAAAAAAATTTCTAAAAATGTAAGGGACTAAACTGGGGCTGAAATACAATTGAACAACTTGACTCCAGCTCGCGAATAATTCAATCACTACTTGACTCGAACTCGATCAAAGTTGGGCTCGAGTTGCTCGATTGAGTCTATGAGTCAAGCTCGAGTAGGTATATTATGTGCTCGAGAGTTTGTCGTGCTCTATTGAGCACTCGCTCTTATATATAATTAACATATTCTAAATAAGTAAATTACTCTTTTAGATTGTTTATTTGCAATAATTACGACCTTAACTAGCTTTGTTTAAAATTAGTAAAGGGTAGACGTGTCATCTTGCTAAAAAATATAGAATTAGGTTAAAGATTAAAGAAGACAGTGAGAGAAGAAATTTCTTCTTCTTCTTCTTCCCGTTTCGAGCTTCGAACAGAATTGGCTGAATTGTCTCCGAGCAAAATTCATCCAACGATCTTCACTGCTTGAGCTCCACTTGAATCTCGATATCCACAGCCACTAGTGCTTCAGCTTGATTGCAGCGACGATGACTGTCATGAATTGAAGCACCAGATGGCAGAAATTGGAGAGATGGAGTGGAGGGTGCAGCTGATAATGTGAAGTAACATCAGTTCCATTGTGGTATCCACGCCCACTAGTTTCTCGCGTTGTATAAGTTGGACTATTGGAGAATACTTCATCCATTTTCTCCACCCGTTGTTAAAGAAATTGATGTTAATTCTCATTTGTGCTTGTTTTTTTGATGAGACCTTTCAAAAGTTGGAACTTTTGCTTTGGATTATGCTTTAGTTTTTTAGCTATGGATGTTTTTTGTGGTTAAATAAACTTCACTAGGATGCAATTCAGATGAAAATGAGCTGTCTGCACAGGAAACCTTTGGTCGAGCTCGATGAAAAGCTCGCCAAATTCCTTGAGCCCCAACAAGCCAAGCTCAAGCCTGGAAAGTAGTACCTTGAGTTGAGCTCGAACTCTGCTCAAGCAACTCGCTCGAGCAGCACTTCTGGGTATTGAGTTCGAGTTCCAGAATGACAACACTCCGAGACCAAATTGGCGTTTTTCTTAAATAAAAAACCTGCCCTTTTTTCATAAGAGCTAGGGAAGTTTGAGTGCATAAGACGCTCGTTTGCTCCTAACATAAAGAGGACAAAAATATCGTACATTGCATACCAAAGAAGGTAAACTTATGGGGCATACAAGAAATTGTTTTTAAGTGCAACATCATTTACATTTTTCTATTTCACAGTAGTTCAGTAGAAACCTTTTCAAAATCAGGAGAACTAAGGTGAAAGAAAGCCCGTGGGAATAAATAAGAAGGAAAAAAAGGAATCATTAGTACCACTTGCATCTTTTATTTTCTAAAATTTAAGTAAGTGTAGATTTAGCCAGCGAAAACCTTCCTGAGATAAATCCGCTCCGGCAGGTTGTGATTATAAGCGTTTTTCTGTGGAGATCTGGAGGGGTATTTCTTACTCTAGAACGTACACATTTGGCATGCATGTTACCTTTAAAATTTTCTGTTCGTCTTCCGCGCGTTAGTTGTTCTACATTTTTCCTGCATTAAATGTTATTCTTAACAATACAGCCCCCTGATGCACCAAATCCTTCAAATATTTATTAATGCCAAAAACGAATCCTTTAGTTGAATAGTTATGATGAATTTTCGTGTGGATTTCCTTCGTGGTGATGTAATTTACTACTCTCTCCGTCCCACTTTGATAGTTCTGTTTTCCTTTTTTGTCTGTCCCAAATTGTAGTCCAGTTTTCAATTGAAGAATGTAGTTGTATTTTAATTTTCTTAAAATACCCTTATTCAATGCTGTTACTATAAACATACCCCATTTAATGAGAGTTGATTCTTTGTTTACCATCAATTCAAATTCTCATAAAGTTATACTCTAATTAATGTAAGGGTATTTTAGGAAAATAGCTATCTAAATTAATTGTTCCAATAAAATTAACTACTTTTTCTTAAACTGTGTGAAAAAATAACCAGAACTATCAAAGTGGGACGAAAGGAGTATATATGAGCCAATCTGTTAATATGTGGACGAGGTCGACCTTACATTTGTCACACACGGAATACTGATCCATGTTGGGAAAAGCCTACGGTTCTGTATATTGGTCTATGAAATTTCCTTTGTGATTCATTACTTATTATTAGCTGTATTAATACAAGGGGACTGTTAAAGATATCACAAAGTTATCATA